CACTCTTTTTGCTATTTGTTAAAGGTCTATTTAACCATAATAAAACACAAACTTACAACAAATTTTAATTAAAGATCCAATTGGGCCAGGTAGTGGTGGCACATGCCTTTAATCCCAGCACTCAGAAGGCAGAGGCAGGGGGATATCTAAGTTTGAGGGCCTGCCTGGCTTACAGAGTGAGTTCTAGGGTGCTACACAGAGAAACCCTGTCCAAAAAAAATACCAAAAAAACCCAAAAATACAGTTTGGCCTTTGTTGACAATGCTAGAATCTAAAACATCTCAACTTATTAAATAGAAATCTCATCAGAGCAGAAGGGGAGGGAGGGAAAGCTGGCATGGTGGACAGGAAGACTGAGGGATGCAAACACAGACAACAAAAAGCCAAGTGGTCATTCCAAAGCCATTTTCAGTACAGGGCTATAACAGGGGTAACCTCTATATAACTAATGCTGACTGTGACTGGCTTTTTAGAGAATCGGTCCATTTGATGCTAGTGCAAGCAACCTTGTTCTGATTTGGTGTGATCTGCTGGGACTTATGCTGGTTTGATGTGATTCTGCTAGTCCAGAACAATGGGTCCCTGTCAACTTTACTCTTACATAAAATGATAGTTACCAAACCATCTTCTTAGATTGTGAACAAGGAAAAGGCATGTGCACATACTTGGGGAGTTCAACATGTGCAGTCGCATCATTTATTAGCCTATACAGCTTTCATAATGGGAGAAAAGAATATAATATATACATATATGATAATATGTAAACTGAAACTCCAAAATGCTGTGCTTATAAAAGAGAGTAGCTAGGTATGGTCACTTGGGTGCAGGGCAGAGGAAAGTAAACATCACTGAGTTTGAAGTCAGCCAGGTCTACAAAGTGGGAAAAACATTTTTTTTCTATCAAAGGTAGTCATCCTAATAAGGGCCCATATTTCCTGTACCTGTCCCTTCCCTTTTGTGTCAATCAATCTGAGGTTTGAATTCCCACTAATGGGATGACACACAGTCACCACCTATTTTAGAGGTGATGACACATGCCTGCAATCTCAGCACTCATAGTTAAGGTGGAAGATGAGTTCAAGGCCATCCTGGGCTACATTGCAAGATCCTGTCTCAGAAAACCAAAATATGAGAAAGAACAGGAGCCAGAGTTTGGGGAAACTAAAAGTAGAGACATACAACCCTTGTATTGACAGTTGATAGCTCTAAGTGTATATACTTCCTTCCACTTCCCTGCATTTTCAAATATTTTATAAAAGAGTGTAGCTTCATACCCCATGAAGACTTAGCACAAAGCTAACAATTGAAACAAAAAATCATGTGGACATCATTGCTCTGAATATCCCTTACTCTGGTCTAGCCTTCAGAAAGCCCAACAGTGACTTGAGAACACTCAGGGTAAGTCTGCAATACAGCCATTTTCCCTTGACCATAGAGATGGTTGCCATTTCACCCAGATGGAGCAACGGAGAAGCAAGTGGGTACCCTAAGAAAACCCTACATCATGTCTCATCTTGGAATTATATTTAGTGTTTTGAGATGATGGCATCAGAGGCACCCAGAAACTGGGACCAACTGAAGACAAAGCAGGTTTGCACATCCTGTCTCCCACTCACCCAAGAGCAACGCCAGACAGAATCATGTATCGTCTAGATGGTCTCTCTTCCTCTTACTTTTGTGGGACTGAGCTCACATATTTGAATTTACCTGAATTCACCTGTGCGTGTGTTGTATACAATTTGTACTCCATTGTACATAATCAGTTTTTAGTAGATAAAACATTTTTGTTTTGGATAGTAGATATGTTTTAGTAGATAAAACATTTTGGACCTCACACATGCTAAATAAATGTTCTGCCTCTGAGCTATACCACCAGATGCAGACTCTCTTATTAAAGAACAAATATTCTAGCTGGGTGGTGGTGGCACATGCCTTCAATCCCAGTGCTCATGAGACAGAGGAAGGCAGATCTGAGTTCAAAGCTACCCGGGGGCTACAGAGTGAGTTCCAGGACAGTCAGGGATACCTGGAGAAACCCTAATTCAAAACTCAAACAAACTGTGGTGGTTTGAAAGAAAATGGTCCCAAAGGGAATGGCACTATTAGGAGGTGTGGCTTTGTTGGAGTAGGTATGGCCTTATTGGAGTAAGTGTGACACTATAGGGGTGAACTTTGAGGTCTCCTATGCTCAAGCTACACCCAGTGACACAGTTCATTTCCTGTTGCCTAAACATCAAGCCGTAGAACTCTCAGCTCCTTCTCCAGCACCATGTCTGCCTGCATGCTAATATGTCCCACCATGATGACAATGAGCAGTGGCTCAGCAGTTAAGAGTAGGGTGTGCTCTTCTAGAGGACCTGCCTTCGATTCTTAGCATGCATATGGAGGCTCACCACTGTCTGTAATCACTCAGGCAATCACTCACACACATACAATGAAAGTAAACATTTGTAAAGCAAAAAGAGCAGGGAGAAGGAAAGGATGAGGAGCACAGCACTGTGCAAACCTATGGTGTAGATGATCTACACATAGGGTTTAGAAAGACTCCCTGAGAAAGATTCAGAGTTGACAGATGCTTATAGAATAGAAATGGCAGTGTGCTGGACTATAGGGATGCCACTAGGGATGACTCTGGCCATGTTTACTGTTTGAGTTTGTCTTTAGAGTAGTAAAAAGTCCCTTGAAAGTCAGGAGTGGTGAAAGTACGTTGTAAACTTTGCATGTGAAAAAAATAGTGCTACCACAATGACAGAATGTGGAGAGCAGATAGGGAAAGGAAAAGAGTAAACTACCTGTCTGCAGGTCACTGTGGTAGTCTACACAAAATGGGTTAACAGCCTAGATAGACCTAACCATGGTGGGGAGCACAGGTGGAGACTGAGCCCAGAAACCTAAGGTATAGTATACATATTAGACAGGGCCTTATTATGTAGCCTTGGCTAGCCAGGAGCTCCTACATACACCAGACTGGCTTTAAACTCACAGAGATCCACCTGCCTCAGCCTCCCAGTTACTGGCATTAAAGGCATGTGCCACCACACTTGAAGGAAAGGATGAGAGGGAGAGAGAGGGAGGGAGGGAGGGAGCAAGGAAGGAAGGAAGGAAGGAAGGAAGGAAGGAAGGAAGGAAGGAAGGAAAAGAAAAACTCACAGATTGACAATCTTTCCCAAAACCTCAGTAAAGGTTTTACACTTAAGATAGTCACATGTTACACATGCAGAACACAAAGGAAGGTGCCATCTAGAGAAGTATACATGTGCATGCTCCTGTTTGAACCAATAAAAGAGTGAAGATACAAAATACCCTGTGAAGCCGGGCGGTGGTGGCGCACGCCTTTAATCCCAGCACTTGGGAGGCAGAGGCAGGCGGATCTCTGTGAGTTCAAGACCAGCCTGGTCTACAAGAGCTAGTTCCAGGACAGCCTCCAAAGCCACAGACAAACCCTGTCTCAAAAAACAAAAACAAAAAAAATGCCCTGTGTGGTGATATTTTGTTTGTGATCTAACAAAAAAAAAAAGCTTGCCTGTCGACTTGATCAGAGTGTGGAGCTAGCCACTAGTTAGCCACAGAGGCCAAGCGGTGGTGGCACATACCTTTAATCCCAGCACTCAAGAGGCAGATCCAGGCAGATTTCTGTGAGTTCAAGACCACCCTGTTCTACATGAGATTGATCCAGTCTAAAAGAGAAACACAGCCAGTCCATGGTGGCTCACACCTTTAATCCTAGTACTTGGGGTCACACGCCTTTAATCCCAGGACTAAGAGACTGGAGTGATATGGCTAAGTAGAAACAGGAATATAAAGTGGGAGGAGACAGGAGCTAACGGCATTCAGTCTGAGGTTTCCTAGAGACAGCATTCAGTTTGAGGATTCCAAGGGACAGGATGGGCCATTTGGTCTGAGGACTCAGTAGAAGTAAGATGTCTGGCTCCTTTATTTCTCTGACCTTTCAGCATCTACCTGATATCTGACTCTGGGTTTTTTATTATTAACACCTATTAGAACTCCTGCTACACCCTTGCTGCTACTATTTTATTTTTTATTTTTTAGTGTATAAAACAGTGGGTCCCACTAGGACTTAACTGATGGTTTCTTAAGCTCAAGATGAGTATTGGTTACTTTTCTGTTGTGATAAAACACCATGATTTATCCTGCTGAAAACCCCATTTTCCTCCTCAAATCACTAGCCCCAACTTCCCAATGAATAATAATAGTTAACATTTATTGAGTGACACTATGCACCATTCACTCTTCTGTACACTTTGCACATTAACTTATAAAATCTTCCAAACAGCTCGAGAAACAGAGAAACTAAACAGGTCAAATGACAACAATTGTTTATTTCTTTGCTCAATCCTTTTGAGACAGGATCTCATCTTACAGCCCTGGCTGGCTTAGAACTAAATATCTAGGTCAAACTGGCCTCAAAATTGTGCTTCTGGCTACAATTGGGATTACAGGCACAGGCACCACCATGCTGACTAAAGCGACCACAACTGAGAAGTATTGAGATTCAGACCAGTAGAGACACAGATGCTTGTATTTCTAACTCTCTGGCAACAGAAAACTAGCTCTTATATGGATATGCTTCAATTACCACAGAATAGTTCTCCCCTCCCCCCAGACTGGGTTTCCCAGTAGCTATGGTTCGGGTCCTGGAACTTGCTCTGTAGAAAAGGGCTGGTCTTGAAATCACAAGAGATCCGCCAGCCTTGTCTCTCGAGTTCTGGGATTAAAGGCGTAGTATAGTTTCAAAGGCAGATTTGAAGGAAAATCTGTGCTTTCAAAAAAGGGATAAAACTGTTTACAATAACACGCCCAACGCCCCTTCCTTCTGTATTGGGCCGTCACACACTTGAGTAGTATAGCCATATCGCCCGTACTCCTCCCCAACAACTACATAAGACCCACAAAACTATTACCTTTCTCCATTTTTCAGACAAATCCTCCCAGCCTCCCGCTCTGTGTCATAGTATCACCAGAGATACAAAAACAGTTACCTCTTCGTGGGAGTCACAGGCACTTTAAAAGCCTTTTAGTGTTCTCATCATAGAAAAAAAAAAAATGTTTATTTGGAGTTAGCCGTGCCTAGAAGTGGCTCCTGCCAGCCGATTCAGCACTCCGGTGTATGAAACGTGAGTATTGCAGCATGTTGGAGGCTAGCCTGAGCTACATGCTGAGTTCTAGGCCAACCTGGGCTACAGAATGAGGCTGTATGAAAAAGAAGAACCCTAACGCAAAGGGCTAAAACTGGCAAGCTCTGTTTAGTAATAACTACGTACATTTATTCTAAGGGACGGTCCATTCCACGCACAGCGAGAACCCGCTATACCCGAGATGGACCGTAGGTGGCGCTGCAGGGACGGGTAAGTGTGCACAGGGCTTCTCTAGGAGACGCTGGTGGAGGGCGGGGCGACTCGGGCGGTCTCTGCGATGGGAGGAGCCCGAGGGAAGACTCGCGTTCACCGGCGCGCAGGCGCAGGCTTGGTCACTCCCTCGGGAGTGAGGGTTGCTGGGCCGGATGACGTGGCCTGGCAACGTCCCTGCCGGCCCTGCCTCCCTAGACCGGCGCTACCGGAACAGCCCGCGGCCTAGTCCCGCCCAGCGCGCGTGGACCTGCCTGCCTAGCCCGGGCTAGCGGCGGGGACGGCTT